ATAATCTTCATATATATATTGTACTAATTCTGCGTTCTGCTTGTAGAACAAGGTACCCGAACTTGCTCACCTCTAATCAAAGGTCATTTAGTCGTCAAACAAAATATACAATAGAATCGTATTCATTTAAATTTTATTGCAAGAGGATTTAGCTCTCAATAATAAATGAGAAATTCTATATAAAACTAATTATATAAACTATTTCCTATAAATTAATATGGCAATATATATATATGACATATTATCTATTCTAATTTGTTTAAATTACCTCTAATTTAAAATTATTCAAACATATTAAAATACATCAATTTATATGGGTGAATTTATACGAGAAATTTCTGTATAAAATAATATTATTCATAATACAAAATTATTATAACAAAATATTTGTTTATATAATCTTTTCTTATATCTCGGTCCTTTGCGGTGTAAAACTTAAGAGAAGTGTTATCAACTTGATTAATAATTGAAGGGTGTGTTTAACATGCGGCATTAAATAGTATTAAGTATTATTTGATACATTATAGTATGAAAATAATATAAAGTAATGTTCTATCGAACATCATATAACACTTCATACGGTATAATAAATAATAATACAATACAATACTATGCCATACAATTTACTTAATGTTATGCAATGTCGCGTGTCAAACATTTCCAAATATTTCACGATAACAATTAATTGCGCATTCTGTGGCTACTCATACAGTGCTGAATCAGATAACCTTGGTGTTGGGATTGCCACAAGAGACGTCTTCAACTTCAAAACAATCCCAAACTTCTCAGTGAGATCCACTTTCTCTCCGTCCCGCATTTTCCAATCAAAAGAATGCAAAAGTGTGGCCAGTGAATACATGAACATTCTCTCCGCCATAGCTATGCCAGCACAAATTCTTCGCCCAGACCCAAATGGGAAATAACTGAAGTCACTTCCACTGTAATCCCATTTCCCATTCAAGAACCTCTCCGGATAAAACTCCAATGGATTCTCCCAAATCGAAGGGTCCCTATGAATCGCCCACACGTTGATGAAGACTCGTGAACCCTTCGGAATTGTGTAACCGTCAATGGTGCAAGTTTCAGAGGGGCAATGGGGAACCAATAGTGGGAGGACGGGGTGCAAACGCAAGGTCTCTTTCATTATAGCATATAAATATGGCAATTTTTGGATGTGGGATTCTTCTACTATGTTGCTTTTTCCAACTACTTGGTCTAACTCTTGTTGGGCTTTCTTCATTACCTCTTGTTTGTTGATTAGTTCAGCCATGGCGAACTCGGTTGCATTGGAGGATGTATCGCTCCCACCCACCACCATATCCTGTCCACAAATTCACCAACCCATGTCAAAGAAGTCATGAAAATTACACAGTTAGGAAGAAGGTAGAAATTAGACAAAATATCATATCTATAATTTAAACTTAGCATGAACTGTGTAAAGTCAGATTAGAGTAAGTAAAGTGCTACAAATTTCACAAGTTGTAACAGAAAAGATCACTACAAAAAATTATTTATGACAAAAGATGTATCGCCATTCAGGGGCGGATCCAGAAATCTTTATTAGGGTGGGCCAAACAAAAATTTTTAGTTCTAAAATTGAGAGTGGGCCACAATTTTTTAATATTTGACAATAAAAATTAAGGGTGGGCCAAAGTCAAACTAAATGAAATAATGTATTTAATTTTTGTTTAATACACTTTGGATCCGCCCCTGTCGCCATTAATATAGTTTAAGATTTGAAATTATTTATGACAAAAAATTTGGTTAACTTTTTAATATCACTAATATTATTCATTCGTATTTAAGTAATTAAAGGAATAATAAATAAACTAATAATAATAAGATTAAAAAAAAAGACTTACCATAAGCAAGGTTTTGACATGGGTCATGGTAAAAGGTGTCTTGGAATCACCTCCATCCCTCTGCTCAAGTAAAAACTGTAAAAAATCCTCACTCTCTTGCTTCCCACTCTCTCCATTAATCCTCAGCCGTTGTTCAATCATCCCATCAAACATCCTATCCAATTTCCCAGCTAACCTATGCATCTTCTTCTCCAGTCCTTGAAAATCAAACCGTGCCAAACCCGGAAAAAAGTCCGATATATTCGGCTGACCCAATAACTCCGTCAGCTCAGATACCAAATCCCGAAATTCCGCGCCCAAACTAGCCCTCTCCGCACCCTGAACGGACCCGCCCCATAACATGTTCGTAATCACGTTCAGTATCGTCAAAAACATTTGTTCACCAACGTTAACGGGTGACCCGACCCGACTGTATATGTACCCGACAGTTTGCCGGACCTCACGCCGCCGGAGTGCGTAAACGGAGTCCAGGGTTTTGTTGCTAAGCATCTTGAGAACACAAATCTTCCTCAACATCCTCCACTCTGGTCCATACGGGTTCCAAACAATGTCACGCCCGCCTTGAGTTGCGACCAGACCTGTAATGGGCACGTCCCGGTTGGCGAAAATGGTGTCGTGGTCTTTGAGGACTTGGCGAGCTGAAGAAGGAGAAGTCAATACGATGCCGATTTTGTTCCCAAGACGGAGCTGGTAAACGGGGCCGTAGGCGCGTGCGAGGCGCATGAAGTAAGTGTGGAGCTCCGGGTCGAGAGAGGGGAGGTTACCCAGTAAGGGAACGCCACGTGGGCCAGGTGGGTACGGAGGGATTGGGTTCTTGCATTTTGCTAACCTCCATTTGAGGAAGAAAACGGCGAAAAAGGAAGAGAAAGTGAAAAGTATGATGAGTGGAATGTTATCAGAAGGAAGAGATTGAAGGAGAGTTAAGACGATGGCCATGGCGTTGTGGGATAATGAGATGTTGAATTCAGCATGGGATTGAGTTTTGTGAGGAGTGAGGCGAATAATTTAATGCCGATGGAGAGAGTGAAGACAAGAGTGGATCTTTTTTACGTGAGAAAAGTTCGGAGGGAGCTGGAAATGGGATCTTCTTGTCTTGATGTGAAGTTGTTAGTTACTTTATTCCCACCCGAACTTGATTATTCCCTATTTTTACCCTTAATCTAACCTTATTTATTTTATTTTAATAATTGAAGGTTAAAAACGTGAAAGTAACCCACGTCTCAAATTTCTCTCGCTCATTGTCAATTTCAGCATCGCCCGTTTTTCGTGGATTCCAGGCCAGCCAGATTTGTCACCCAAACTAATAGAAATCATCAGCCCAAGCCCAATCTGTTTGACCCCTAGCCTGACCGATCGATGTGGGAAAGGATATAAATGAGATAAATGTGTAGAGGGGTATGTTACGTTTAATTCTATCACTCGTATTCTTTGCTGTTGAAAATATTCATACATACTCTATCTGCATGTTTGGCTTAATATTTTTATCCCTATTCTGGATCCTATTCTCCAAATAATTTTTGGCACATTATTCCAGAAATATTACCCTATTTTTTTAATTACATTTAAACCCCATAAAGTTATTAATTTCACTAAATACCCCCTGAAAAAAAAGTTTAAAAATTAACAAAAACACCCCTATCAACCCAACTTGTCAGATTCCGACAACCACCGTCGGTGATAGCCGGAATTTGTACAACGGCCTAACTTCCGACCAGAAATGGCAGAAAGTTCACCGCTGTGGCCTTTTTCGGCCAGATCCACCAGGGATCTGGCCGGAAAAGGCCAGATCTGGCCGTCAGCGACGGCCAAAGAAATGGCCGTCGTTGACCGAAAACGAGGGCCACATCTTTGGCCGTCGCTGACGGCCCAAGATGGCCCTCGTTTGGCCTTTTTCGGCCGTCGACGGCCATAACAAACCGTAGATCTGGCCTTTTCTGACCAGATCCACTATGGATCTGGCCGGAAAAGGCAATAACGACGTGTTACGGCACAGATCCGACCGGTCTGTGCCGTAACGAAATTTTTCAGTCAGATTCCGATGGTGGTGGCCGGAATCTGACACTGCAGGTGGTGGGGGTGTTTTTGTCATTTTATATATTAGGGTCTTTAGTTAAATTAGTAAATCTAAGGGCTTTTTCATAAATTTTTAAAATTTACCTTGTAATACTCCCTTATCCAATAACCCAATACTATTCCTAAAATCTTATCCAAAATACTAAACCAAACGCACCTGTACTATCGTGAAATAATATTTTAATGAAGATAATCTAGTAAAAATAATAGTTTCGAAAATATATTATTAATTTTATATAAGTAGTTGTTTACAGCTGTATTTGTCCGTTGATTTTTTCATATGATTTCTTTAGAATAATCATGATTCAAAATATTAGTGCAAGTAGTAGTCATGAACAAAGAAAACTAACGTCTGCTTTTTCCCTTCAAGATATTTTTATCATTATAATCAATACCATTTTTGTATTAAAAACTCAATATTAGAGTGTAGATGTGTTTACAATATATGTTCAAAATTAACTATTAAATGGAAAATAAAATATAATAATTAATAATATAAGTAATTTTAATTTTTTATTATGTTTGGATAAAAGGAAAATTGTACAAACAAATGAAAGATAAATACTCTGACCATGAAATTGAATAAAGAGATAAAATATGGGAGAACGACTTTTTCCCACCCAAGGTTTGGCAAAACGACACTTGTTCACCCATCAAGTTTCAAAACGACACTTTCCCACCCACCATTATGTTCCGTTAGGAAAATTTATTACTATTTAATTGTAAAGACAAGAATACCCTTTATAGTTTGACTTAATAATTTTTTTCTTATTTTACATGTGTCAACAATTCAATTATCAAAATATCCAATTTTTAAATAGGAAATTATTGGCATGCCTTAACTATATATTTAAATTTAAATTACTAATTTGTCCTTCCAATTTTTTATTAAAAAATGAAGCTAATATTAGATTTTTTAAAATTTGAAACCTTTAAAATTAGCGGTTTGTTTTGGCATTTATATTTATATTTTGTCAATTTAAATCCAAATAAAGCTAAGTAGTAGCATTAATAATTTGCTTAAAAAGAAGAATCCAGATTGTAAAATTATAGTGCATAAATATATAAAAGAAATTTTGTCAAGACATTCAATAAATATATGGAATTCAATACAAAAAAAGCAGCTTTTCAAGTTTCTCATTCATTCTTAAAATCCAAAAAAGTTCTACTTTCACCCTCCCACTTTCTAGCTCCTTGAAGCTTGCATTTACTTTGCTTTCTGGATCTTCAAAACCTTCTTCACAATCTTTTGCTCTTCCACCAAGAAAGCTCGAATTTGATGTATTATTTTCAGTCAAAGTTGCCATCTTTCAACTGCCTTAGGATGGTATTTCCATTTAACTTAGCGTCAACGCATTGCTTCACCTTATCTTCACTGAGTTTTGGAGTTGCCTAAAACAATCCGGAATTGCATAAAAAACAGCTTAAGTGAAACTTACACATATATGAATTTGCAATCTTTCAGAATAGAGAATAACGAAATAGAAAAAATATGTATGTTCCAAAAGGAGTTAGTAGTAGAAAAGAACAAAGATGAAGTTCTTACCCATCTCTTAAAGAGAAGTCAACAAGATTAGCTGCCACTGCCACAGCAGCCCCACTACATGATCCACCAGGTACTCGAGCATGTGCTGCAGGATTAATTGGTGTCCTATAATGCTTACTCACTCCATTGATACTGAAAATAAAGCACTCAAAAACAATCTATAACCAATAGCAAACCAAACGATACAAAAATTTAACACAGAGAAATTAAAATAAGAACTAAATATTAAAAATTCCAACATTCACCCCACCAAAAGTAGGATAAAACAGTAAGTAATGACTTATAATTTTCTCTTCTAATGGCTTATATGTCACCCTGACTAAGTGTTTTTTTTTTTAACCATAATGACTTCTAAAATTGGACTTTTCAATCTTCAATGATACAAAATCTAAAATTAAAAGTAAAATGTCGAGACTTTAATACCATTTTTGGCCATTTCTCATGAGCTTGATAATAAATTTCTCACTCAAATACTGAAACAATGAACAAAAATTACAAACCTATAAGCTAGTTCATCCACCACCGTTTTACCAACGCAAGTGGCACCTCCTTCCACGAGAGTCAAAAACACTGTCACCATTCTAGAAGATGCATCGCTTGTAGTCGCCCACTTCGGATGGCCAAGATTGGTAACATAACCTCAATATCAAATCTATTAAACAAACAAAAATTAATAAATACACACAAAAAAAACCATAAATATATCATTATTTTACCAGCCAGGCAGCAAGCGAGAGAGCGTACATGTCGGAGACAACGAAGGTGAGAAAATTGAGAGGATGAGGAGCCTTGGGAGGAGCAGGTTAAGGCAGAGGGAGAAACTGAAGCTTCTCAACGACGGCTCCAAAGTCTTCTTTAATGTTCTTTTTGAGCTTTTTTGTGACGAGGAGAATTCTGGCGTGAGAAGCCATGGCTGAAGTGAAACAAAGATGAATCGTCGGTTTCAACCCTTTTTCTTTGCTCAGTCGTCGTCTTCAACAGCCACCAGTCGCCAACCCTAGCTGCTTAAGCTTCGATTACAGAGAACAGGGAGAAAAGGCATATAGCTTTTTGTTTTCGTTTTTTTTTTCCCCTAAGCTAGCTTTAGTGGGATACGTGGCAACCATTTCAATTTTTAAACTTTGATTTTTGCGGTTTGGTGTAAATTGACCATCATGCCGTTCTTGAGAATGAAATTTGTTAACAGCACATAACGGTGGGTGCGAAAGTGTCGTTTTGAAACTTAACGGGGTGGGACATTGTCATTTCGAGAAACATTGGGTGGGAAAATGTCGTTCTCCCAAAAAATAATGAAAACTGATGGTTGTTTTGCGTGGCCAGATAGAGATGGGAATTAGGCCCAGTCCCCAAAATCCCAGTTCTGGGACGTAAGAGAGGATGGTCCAGGGCCAACCCCTTCCATTTAACTCTTGTAAAATATCCAAAACCTCCTATTTAATATCAATTTGACAATAAATGTAAGGGTCAAAAAAATTTGAGTAATGCTACAGTTACCGATGGGTGTGTACCAAATTTGTGCACTGAATGACATGGTTAAATCCTGACCGTTGATTTATTATCAGTTAATATTAATCAACGGTCAGGATTTTGTTACGTCATTCGGTGCACAAATTCGGTGTAAACTTTTCAATAACTCTATCATTTTCCAAAAAAATTTACCAAAAAAATAAATAGGACTGGTCATGGGCCCATAGGACCTGTCCCCATAGTACCTGTCCCAAGCCAAGATAGGTCCTATGGGCCCATGATCGGTCCTTCAAAAATTGGGCCCGATCACCCTAGGCTTGGGATCGCTTGGGCCCAAGCCTTGCCCACCTCTATGGCCAAGTGAGGTTGCGGCTCAAGCATGGCCAAGTGAGGTTGCGGCTCAAGCATGGCCAAGCAAAGCGATGGCTAGTTTTGCTTGAGCCACAACCTCGTTGAACAAGCGAATGCCACGAATCAGTGGGTTACCGGTCTTTTACACTCCATTCATTCACTAAATCCAGCTATAATATAACAATAGGAGTCCAAAATTATTTTCATTTCGATAGAGAGCTTATTGGATTATAGCAATGCTCCCTATTCCCCATCCCACAATCATGTGAAAAATAATGTGGTTACCATTTGAGCTTTGAAGTCAGTCTAAATGAAATTTGAATTTCTTCTTAATATTTCTTAGAGCAATACTATGCTTACAATTGAGTTATATAAACAGACAAAAAAATAGGATATAGTAGTCATTTTATATGAATTTTATCTCATTTTTGTTTGTTTATAATGACTCAGTTATAAGCAAAATATTATTGTATTTCTTATAAGAGTTAAAGAATTTATCAGATCACCGTAAGGACACGTGAGTTCATATAATTAAAATTAACTATATGTTGCCACATGTAATGGCTTTTCTTTTCACCAGCAACCACCACTATGAAATACTAATTAAAGGTGTATATCTAGCTTAAAAAAATACAAAAAATTATGTCAATTTTTTGTAGGGACCTACATCCAACGTTTTGATCTGAATAGGCACTAAGGAAACTATCTATTTATTTCATTGTAGAAGACAAACTAGAAGACAACGACTCATCTAAAGTAGGGAAAACGGAAGACTGGCAAACTGGAGAGTTTCCCATAGTTGATGGGAAGGAAGGGCAACTAAGAGAAAAGCAAGCAAGCTCCCCAGTGGCATCCTCATCGACTTCAAAAGTTTATTTTTCCATTTTGGGGTTTATCAGAAGGGAAAGAGGGATTTATGAAAGGATTTTAAAATAGGAGGTCCCTCAGAAAACAAAGGTATGAATTCGGAGTATACCGGTATTGAGGTATTTGAATCTGACTCTGGGCATGAAACGCTATCCCTACGAAGCAAAGTATGTCAAAATTAGTGCAACTTAAGGTACGACACGATGTGATTGTGGTTAATTTATTTATGGAAAATAACATACATCAAGAGTAGTGCACCGAATTTGTCCATCGAATGACGTGACTCAATCTTGACCGTCGATTAATTATAACTTAATATTAATCGACGGTCAGGATTATACCACGTCATTCAGTGTATAAATTCAGTGCACTGCTCTCGGTGACTGTAGCATTATTGTTTATTTATTTTGTTTACCAAGTCAAATAGCTATCACGTGAAGCTTGTTCATGGTAGAAAGTGGCTTGGGTTGTTTTGTTTTGTTTTTATCTAGATAAGATTTTAGTAGTGGTAGTAGTGATAAATATGATGTGAGTGGTTGGAGAGAATAGAGATTTGTGGGAAGTGGCTTAGTGGAACAGGTCTTTAAATAGCTTATGTGATTGAGATGAAGTACGCATTCTTCTCACAAAGATTTTTTGATTGTATTTCCCATTTCAATTAAAGCTTTTATTAACGTTCTCTTTGCCTTCTCTCTTTATTTTATTCTTCTTTTTATTTTATGGTATCAGAGCCAGCGAGAAGGCCATTCTTTTGTCTTGTCTATCAAACTTGTCTTGTTGCAGGAGTTTAAAAGTTGTGAAAAGAAAGTTTTGTTTGTTTACAACAATGGAGGTAGCGGATGGGGGAAATACTCAGTACAGGATGGAGAAGCATGCAGGCAATAATAACTAAAAGCACTAGAGAATGTGTATGGAGGCATATCTTCAAGGTCAGGATTTGTGGGAATTAGTTATTGATGCTGATGCAGGGATTCCTATTGATATTCCTGAGCATGCCGAATCACGAAGGAAAAGGAAATGGAAGATCAAGTTTGGCAAGACTCTTTTTGCTTTGAGGACATCTATTAGCAAAGAGTTTATTGATCATGTTCGTGATATTAGCTCTCCAAAAGAAGTCTGGGACATGCTTTAAAAGCTGTGTACTAAGAAGAATACAACAAGCTTACAACTATTGGAGAATGAGTTGGCAATGTTAAAACAAGGAGGTATGTCAATTTCAGAATACTTTTTACGAGTTAAAAGTATTTGTGCTGAAATTTCAGAGATAGATGCGGAAGACAAGATTAGTAAAATGCGTCTACGTTGGTATCTTGTCAGTGGATTGAGAAAGGAGTACTGACCTTTCGTCACCTCTATTCAAGAGTGGTCACAGCAGCCCTCTGTAGAGGAGTTAGAGAACTTGCTCTCTAATCAAGAAGCTTTGGCTAAACAAATGGGAAATTTTTTTTCGAATTTGACGCTGTTCTCTTCTCAAAAGGGAAGCCAAACAAGAAGAATACATCAGCCTAGGACGAGACTAAAGAAGAAGACTCAAGTGCAGAGAAAGATGGAAATTCACAAAGTAAGAAATCTATCACATGTTTCAAATGCGGGAAAACTGAGCATATTAAGAGATATTGTCGTGTGAAGATTTCCAAAGCTAATGTTGCATGTGCAAGTGAAGGAGATGATCAACTCAAATGGGAACAATGTTTTATGGTTGAAGAAGTATAAGAAAAGTCAGTCCAAACTCTTGTTAATTATGTCAACAACGACAAAGAGGAGTGGATCATTGATTCAGGTTGTTCACACCATGTAACCGGAAATGACACATTGTTCTCAGAAATGCGTCAACACCATGGAGAGCGGGTTATTGTTACTGCAGATAACTCAAACTATCCGCTAGCAAAAGAAGGTGTCGTGACAATCGATGTTGCTAATGATACAAGAACTAGCAGTGTCAAGTTGAATGATGTTTATCATGTTCCAGGTTTGAAGAAAAATTTAGTTTCAGTTTCTCAAATTACTGATTCTGGCAAATATGTTTTGTTTGGTCCAAATGATGTGAAGGTGCTTGATAATGTGAAAGATATATCTGCTGATGTTATTCTTACTGGTAAGAAGAAAGGTTCTCTGTTCGTTTTGTCAGCAGGTGAAGCCTATGTAAAGAAAACTAGCCAAATCAATAGTGTCGCAATTTGGCATCCTCGATTGGGTCATGTAGTTTACCAAATATTGCAGCAGATTTCTTCTAAAAAGTTGATAGATGGCATACCAACTTTGAAGGATGTACGTGAGAATGTGATTTGTCAAGGTTGCCAATGTGGCAAATCACATTGTCTTCCTTTCAAAAGTTCATCAAATCGTAGATCCACCTTATTTGAATTGCTTCATACAGACTTGATGGGACCAACGAGAACACCAAGCTATAGCAAACATCGTTATGTTATGGTATTGGTGGATGATCACTCACGATTCACTTGGGTGAAATTTTTGAAAGATAATAGTGAAGCATTATCCAAGTTTATGGAATTCAAGGATGCTATTGAAAAGAATTTCAAGAAGAAAATAAAATGTCTGTAGAGTGATAATGGTGGGGAATATATGTCAAATGATTTTTTTCAAAAATTGTGATGACAACGGTATTCTTCGTCAAATGACATGTCCAGATACCCCTGGGCAGAATGGAGTTGCAGAAAGGAAACTTGGTCATCTTGCTTCAGTTTGTCTTTCATGGTTGCATGATAAGAATCTTCCTCGAGAGCTTTGGGCAGAAGCTATTCAGTGTGCATGTCATGTGATAAATAGGTTACCTCCATGGCTAGGTACACAAAAATCTCCTTTTGAGATTTTATATGGTGAAAAGCCAAATGTGAATTATTTTCGGGTATTTGGTTCTATTTGTTATGTTCATGTTCCTAAATCTAATCGATCCAAACTTGACTCGAAAGCAAAGAAATGTGTATTTGTTGGCTATGACTCTTATAGGAAGGGTTGGAGGTGTATGGATACAGGAACAAATAAATTTGTTACTTCCAGATATGTGGTGTTTGATGAAGTATCATCTCTATGTTCTGTTCAAAAGCCCGTGGTAAAAAATATTGCTCTTGATGATGCTCAAGACAACTTTGAACCTCTATCTCATAAAATTAATCTGCAAGCACCAATCAATGATGAAACAGAAAATGAATCTCCAAGGCAGAATATTCAAAGACCAGAAGATGGTGAGCAACAAGCTGTGAGGATATTAACAAGGGAGACAAGGCAGCCAGATTATCTAAAAGATTATGAGGTACAACTTAATCATTACACAATGACCTCATGTTTTTTACAGGAGCTTTATGTGCAGAAGAACCAATAAGCTATGAGGAAGCCAATATTGTCTAAAATGGGAAAGAGCAATGCAAGAAGAAATTGAAGCATTAAACAAAAATGAGATGTGGGAGTTAGTACCCAAACCAGAAAATTGTAAGCCAGTCACTTGCAAATGGGTTTATCGGTTGAAGAAAAAATCAAATGGGACAATTGATAGGTTGAAAGCTCGTTTAGTTGCCCGTGGTTTTTCTCAAAGCTATGGATTAGACTACGAGGAGACTTTCAGTCTAGTAGCAAAGATGGTGACGGTGAGATCAATTTTTTCACTTGCTGCTTTTAAAGATTGGAAGTTGTGGCAACTTGAAGTAAAGAATGCATTTCTTTATGGAGAGTTGGATCGTGAAGTATTTATGGAGCAACCCCAAGGTTTTGTCTCTAAGCAATTTCCACATCATGTATGCCGGTTAAAGAAAGCACTCTACGGTCTAAAACAAGCATTGCGTGCTTGGTATGGTAAAGTTGCTCAATATCTCATCTTTTGTGAATTTAAAGTTTCTTATTTAGATTCTATTTTTTCATAAGATTAGAATCAAATATGCATCTGCTGGTATTATTATATATTGATGATATGATAATAACAAGAGATAATGAATCAGAAATTTCTCATTTAAGGAATGATTTATATGTGCGTTTTGAGATGAAAAATCTGGGAGAGATTGGATGTTTCCTTGGTCTAGAAGTGGAAAAATCAGATCAAGGTTATTTTGTTTCTCAAAAAGGATATGCAAAAGGTCTCTTGGAGCGTTTTGGCATGGGGGAGTCAAAAGAAATGGCTACTCCTATAGAGTCATATCTCAAGTTGAAGAAAGATGAAGGGAAGCTATTGAAGGATGCTAAAAAAGTCCGACAACTTGTTGGAAACTTAATATATATTTAACTATCACAAGGCCAGAAATTTCATATTTTGTTGGTGTTGTTTCACAGTTTATGCAAGATCCAAGAACTCCTAATTTAGATGCGACAAAAAGAATTTTACGTTATACAAAAAGATCTCTCAGTCATGGCCTTTTATATAAGAGATGTAATAATTTTTTGTTGAGTGGATTCACTGATGCAGATTGGGCTGGAGATACACATGATCGTCGCTCAACTTCAGGTTATTGTTTTAACACTAGTTCAGCTGTGATTTCCTAGTGTAGCAAGAAGCAAGCTGTTGTTTCTTTGTCTAGCACTGAAGTTGAATATGTGGCAGCAACCATGGCTGCACAAGAATGCATTTGGTTGAAGGGGTTGATCGAAGACACGCTGTGCAAAGTTAACTATGCTGTGCAGATCAAATGTGACAATGAAAGTGCTATCAAACTTGCATCAAATCCAGTTTTCCATGCGCGAACAAGGCATATTTAGGTCCGACATCATTATGTTTGTAAAAAAGTATTGAATCAAGAGATTGAGCTGAAAGGCGTTCACACCAGCAATCAAGTTGCTAATATATTTACTAAGGCTTTGACAAGGCCTAAGTTTGAAGATTTTCGAGATGCTCTAGGTATTGTTGATTGTAAGCTTGCACTAAGGGGGAGTGTCAAAAATTAGGGAAACTTAAGGCACGGTACAATGTGATTGTGGTTCATTTATTTATTTTGTTTACCAAGTCAAATAGCTATCACGTGAGGCTTGTTCACGGTAGAAAGTGGCTTGGATTGTTTTGTTTTTGTCTAGATAAGATTTTAGTAGTGATAGTACTATAAATGTGACGTGAGTGGTTGAAGGGATTTGTGGGAAATGGCATAGTGGCATAAGTCTTTAAGTAGCTGATATGATTAGATAAGATTTTAGTAGTGGTAGTACTATAAATATGACGTGAGTGGTTGAAGAGATTTGTGGGAAATGGCATAGTGGAACAAGATAAGATTTTAGTAGTGATAGTAATATTAAAATATGACGTGAGTGGTTGAAAAGATTTGTGGGAAATGGCATAATGGAACAAGTCTTTAAATAGCTGATGATGTGATTGAGATGAAATACGCATTCTTCTCACAAAGATTTTTTTGATCGTATTTCCCATTTCAATTAAAGCTTTTATTAACTTTTTCTTGGCCTTTTCTCTTTATTTTATTCTTCCTTTTATTTTAAAGCACAGATAGATAATCTTGGATCTTTTCCTGATTCACTTGTCAATTTGCAAATAATTGGGGTAATGTAGTCTTGAAAAGATGTTGGCCGAATAAAGGATGATCCTAAGATATATAGTGCTAATTATTGCCACCTGATTAACGTTAAATGGGATTAAAATAACACTGACCAACATGAATCCACTATATATAACCACTGGAGACTTGACTCGAATCATGTTAACAATGGTGTTTATTCCAATATACAAGAGATTAAAAAAGTCGTATGATTCTACGAGGCTGAAGTTTAATTTCAGTGTTAAAGTAAGAAAAGATTATCACAGTAAATATTAGTATATAAATGAAATACATATTTGACCCATCTACATCCAATGCACTTGAAAGAAGAGTTTGTCAAGATAAAATCCATGTTTTACCAATCTATACCCAACTCTCGTGAAATGAAGAGTTTGTCGATGTACGCAATGACTGAAGCAGATGCAGTAATGTACTTCTGCAATTGAATAATCGCTGACGCCTCTGAAAGAAACCAAAATGAAAGTTGTACCATTAACGTAACACAAAAAGATAAGCCCCTTCTTTTCCCTTACTACTTTTTTCTCTTTAAAGTAGGCATCTATGATCTGAGCAAAACTTGGTTGGCATCGTGGTAATTTCAGACCCATCCAACAAAAACAAGGATTTAAAGTCATGCCATGAACATCCTGATAAAACATTTCAAAGTCACATGATATTGGGAGAACCTAGTCCAGGACTGAAGATACCAATTCCTATTGTTAATCAATAATGTTTTGACATCAATGGTAAAGACTTTTCATCTAAACAAGCCAGCTCTCACTAAAGCTCATCCCCAGTCAAAAGTTGAATTGTACAGACAAAGCTTTAGATTGAACCAACAAACCCAATGCCTATTGGGAGTGTATTATGTAAAATTTTGAACATAGTATGTCTAGAGCCACATTTCTATATTTTTCTTTTCTTTATTTTTTTCTTTTTAGTAATTAAAGAAAAGGTTGATGAAAACTCTTATATATCAAAGATATAATTATTCACAAACACAAAAACAAAAATTAAAAAAGGGAAAGGGAAAGGGTCGGAATACAATATCAACATTTCATTCCATATATATTTGACAACAGAGAGAAAGAAACAAATGGATCACAGGGGGAAGCACTCACCATCTTCATTGAGCTTTTTTAATAGTTGTTCCTTGGTTGGAAGGGCATACATCCCTGCAGCAACAGCTTTCCTTATAGCCCATCCATGATGGGGAGCCAATACTTGTGCATAAGCTTTGGAAACTGGATCTTTTATGGAATCACCCCTACATAAGGAAATCAAATAGTTTTACCCAGTTAATACCAACTTCACATTCAAATGCTTACATTTGAGATAATACTTGCATAATTTGTAGCCATAAACAAATATTTATTTACATCCTGATACTTAAATATGACTTAGTTCAGGAGTCAAATAACTCATCAGGACAAACTAATTTATAAAGGTTAAGGCAATTTTTGTAGTGCACATCATTGGTAAGAACTGGATTGAAAATCCATATCTAAAAAGATTTACAAAAGGTGAACAAGCTGTTCACGTATAGACTAGACAAAAAAACGTTAAGAGGCTCAAAAGAATCAAAAGGCTTAAGACAACTCAGAAGGACATTTAACAGGGTCCTGAAGTCAACAAATATAAAACAAAATGCTATCAAGTCATTCACCTCCCAAACAATGACGAAAGAATAAAAAAGCCACATCTCGGAATTTAAAAAACACTGAAGCCCGTAAAGAGGTCCAGAACTTAATTGTCCAATAAAGACTAAGCATCCTCTTTTCTTGTCTTCAAAAGTACTTCTATTGGTTTCTAGCCAAACCAAAAAAAATTCCATAATAGCATAACCCCAAAGAACTTTGGCTTCCTTACTTCCCCTAAGAGCTTTAGATCTTTCCAAGAAAACAGAACAGCTAGAGGGAAAGGCTACCCAGCAGAGACTAAAAACGAAAAACAAATTCATTGACAACTGAAGAGTAACAGGACATTGCAGAAAAAAAAGTGGTCTAAACAAAGCCAGAATCTTCACTTTACAGAGGGCTTTGGCTTTCCAAATCAAAGTAGAAGCTTCAAAAGGGAAAATCTAGGAACTTCAGGAAAAGAAGAGACATAGCATTCAATGCTATAATGAGCCTTTTTCTCATGTGCCCTCAATTTAGCATTGAGTTATATGCAGTTTTATCCTTCTTGATCACCCCAATTACCCATCTCAATATTCACATTAGATGATGCTCATTTCAAATATTAATGCTATATTTAGAATTCCCAGCAAAGTAAATAAAAGATTGCTCATCTTACAGTGCTATAGTTAATTGCCAAATAGGCAACTTAATTTGACAATTAAATCCCATATAAAATTACAATCTCATAGTCAAACTCAACTTTGACAATCAACATAAGCACAAGAAACTCATGACAAGCCAACCTACCAGATACATCTAGGAAATCGTCTTTAATTCTATTAAGCAAATCAAATAATACACCCACAAATTCCAACTCAATAGTTATAAACCACATCCACAAGTATAAGACAGTAGAACATCTCTGCTCTAGACTTGAACCTTAACGATAAAATAGTTCTCACCAAATTCTATGTCATTAACAATTCCATAGAAAATGAAAGAGGCCTGCTTGGACTTACATCATCTTCCACAATGTTTCCTCTTTAGTAAACTACCTAAGGACCAATTAGTTTGATAGAAAAATTAACCACTAAGGCACACCACATCTAATTAACATATATATGCATACCCTAATTGATATGTAAGCACCCAAAGTTTGCTTTATTTTTCATTTTCCCCCCACTAGATTTGAGCAAATACCCAATCCTGTTGACAGCCTACTCCAGGTTATTTCTTGACAAACGTTTTCAAAATTCCCCTATTTTCTAATTAAAGGAACATAGGGCCACATTGGATTGTGTTTTGTATAAATGATTTTCCACTTTTTGTACTTGAAATCATGAAATACACGGTCATCTTGCATTTCCATTTTGTCGAAGACGAAAAATGCAAAATCAGGTCTTCTTCTCAATCCACGGGGGCCTTTAAGGTTTAAATCATGTAGTTTTTATTATTTTTCCACCAAGAAAAATATCACCTTTTCAATCAAGCAAAAAATGATTCTTTATTTAACAAGTAATTAACCGAGGATAGATAAACAGATTAGGCAATATGTTCTTTTTGGATAAAGCTACATGTCCCTTTCTGGATAAAGCTATAGGATCATGTATGAAGTCATATATCCTTGCTGGATAACGCTGCTATACGTCTTCAGGTAAGTCATATATCTTTTTTTGGAAAAACTACATGCCGTAGAATCATTTTCCTTGATAAAAAAGCTAATCTTCTTGATAGACAAGTAATATGTTTCCATAGGTTCTTTTTCAATAAAGCTATACATCCCTTTCTGGATAAAGCTATATATCATTTTCGGATAAAGTCATATGTCCTTCCTGGATAATGCTCTATGTACTAAGGTAAGTCATATATCTTTTTTGGATAAAACTATGTCCTAGAATCATTTTCCTTGATAGAAAAGGAAATATTCTTCTTGGTAGACAAGTAATATGTTTCCTTAATGAAAAAGAAATACTTCTTAATAGACATGTAAAATAAACCATGTTATTTTACATGGTTTATTTTACAAAGAAATACTTCTTAATGAAAAAGAAATACTTCTTAATAGACATGTAAAATAAACCATGTTATATAATTTTTGAAGATCCCCCAGGACCATCTCTACGACCAAAATACATTTTCCCCTTTTTCTAACACATTGATTCTCCCTCTTTCTTTCATTTACTCTCTTCTTTTCTTTCTATCTCACCCAAACCAATTCACTTTTTATTTTATTTTCTCTTCACAATCTTTTTTTCATTATCTCTTTTCTCTTCACAGATTTTCTCTTGATTTTTAACCATGAAAATCATTTTTACAAACAGGACCTAAAACTCTATATGTAATGCACATAATGCCAAAACCTAACAGCTCTAAACGAACCATTTCCCTTCTCTAAAATGTATCTTCTCTTTGATTATACCATCCAACATAAATGTTTCAGCTCTGTAATCATACAGATTTTGCTTACTTCTTCATCTAACTTATTTTCCCTTCTTCCCAAGAGTGGAAGATAGAGTTCATCCAAACCGAACGATAGTGACTTACATATCACAATTAGCATTTTCCAGATTGAATGTTAGTATCATCCAATTTACCTGATTTCAAATGCGGGTAACTCTATTAATGGAACCCACAATGAAGTGGAAGCCCCACTCATGATTAGTCCAGAAGAGGAAATTCATGCATTTGAAGACTACGTGCTATAAAGCAAAGATACTCAATTCAAATCCCCAGCAAATAATAGAAAAAGAATACATATATATACAAAGAAGAAAAGAAGAATCCACAAAACCTATGAATTTCTGGGTCTAATATCACAGGCCATAAAACAACCTTGCTATAGGAAGCTTAAAGGTGGTTTAGATCACAAGTTCAAGAGAGCCTAAAGATAACAAAACATTCTTGTAATGACTTAGCTAAATTACCATTGTCCATGACACAAAAGGCAATGCATGCCTCTGCCTCCATCCAATATAAACTAAAAATCATCCGAATGATAAATTGAGAGGCAATTAAAGTAAGCTAACCTGATCAAAAAATGGAAAAGTATAAACAATCAATAAAAGGATTTGACTTTGATATACATACTCTGTAGCTATAATTTGCTCAAAAAGAACCCTAACCACGTCGAGTCCACGCTTCACTCTCGAAAGATATCTAGTGTGACTACCAACTTCCCGCACACAGTTTCCTTCTATATCATGATCAATCAAAGCTTGCAATGTCATTATCGACTTTGATGCCACTGCAAGATCATCAACCTGATATGTTGCTCAATCAATCAATCAAACCACTCAAATATAAGAATTGCATTAAATCATAATCATTGAACAAAATCTATTCCCAACAACACATTCAATAAGTAACCAAGGAAATTAAAAAATTAACAAAAACAATAATATAAATAAGCCACACTAAAAATCCAATCCAGTAATACAATTTATACTTTGTTACACAGCCGTACATGATGCAAAATTCCAGTAAGGACAATGTCATATTTATGATTAACTTCACACTAATATAATTCACTTCAAATTAAGAAGCAAATATGATTATAGTGCCAAATTTTAGCAACATATAACACGTAACTCACTAGTACATGTTACCAGTAACAATACCGGGCAGTAACAATATTTACGTAAATAAAAGAGTTAGGGTTTGGATTAACCTTGGCGACGTAATCCATTTCGGCGAACTTGAAGGCGATTCCTAAGCAACCAATGAGAGGAGAGACGAGAGAACAGGCGTGAGAGAAGGGCGCCACCTCGACATCGGCGGTCTCTGAATTGATGGTGGCAGCCAGTTCAATGAATGCTTCTGCGATTTTTCTGAGCGGTTTGTCGGTGTCTGATTTCGCCATTGCTGACTTTAGATCTCCCTCTATCTCTTGCTCTTTCCTTTCTCTTCCATTCTTTCTTCCTCTTTTCTCAAGCATTCTTCTTACGGCTAGATCCAATCTCCTGGTCCTTGCGGAAAGGAAATGGAAAAAGAATTTCATGTTCTTCCTTTCTGGAAGGGAAGATTTTCCTTCCATTTAACAGTACCTTAGGATGGTAGTATATCCTTAAAGTAAAGTGAAGGGCCAGGTTCAAACAAGGAAGACTCAAAATCTCGTGCTAAAGAGCGTGGAGATTGAGTACTCTTCAAGGCATAATATTGAGAATGCTCATTGAATGAGCGATGCTCATAAAATTTATTGTATCTACATTTTAATGCTCATAAAATTTCAACTCTTCAGACAATTAGGTCTATCCACAGGGAAGACTTGGACTTTATCAGGTCTTACTCAAATTTAAATAAAGGTCACCATTCTACATGGACGCGCAAGAAAAACTTAGCAAGACCTTTCATTGTCGCCGTTAACATCTCTTAGTATACCANTATGGAGTCTCGAATTCGGTAGCGACTGCGACTCCGCGGCTCTACTTCCACAACTCTCGACGTCCTCTTCAATCGCCATAAGAAGCAACACAAAAACAAACAATCACAATAATCAGAAACCAGTAACTCACTCACTCACTAAAACCAGCTGAGAACTCCACATGAATGAAGGTGATCGTACAAAGAAAGAGAGAGAGAGAGAGATAAGAGAAAATAAAGAGGGAGAGTGGAGAGGAGAGGAGAGAGGGAGAGTGAATTTTGTTTGTGTTTTTGTTGTTTGGCTGTCAGAAGGTCGGAAAAAAGGTTTAGGGGATCTCCACGTCAGCATGGGGTCCAGGAGATGGTGGGTCACGAGACCTTGCCACCTTTCTTGATTGATTGGATAAACTAGGTAAGTTAAGGAAATATGATATTATTTTTGTGATTTACAACACTTCCGAGAACCGGACAAAGGTTTCCGCTTCTACTTCAATTTCAAAAAGGTCACTTAATTCCACTTATGCCCTTCCCCCTCAATTTAAATAAAATGTTTAATTTATTAGTTATACCTCAAATCTTGTAAAAAAAAATAATGACACGTTTAAGACTAAAAGAATTTAATTAGAATCTAATTAATATCATTACTTTATTGAACGGATAAAAACCTATGGGCATAGAGGGAATCTCATAAAGACTATTTACAAGATTCCTGACATAATACTATAGTGATGTCAAGTCAAATCAAATAAATAATAATTTAGATTTTAAAATTTTAATATAAATAAATAAATTAAAAATAAAATATCGATAATACTACGCTTCCAAACCTTCTCATTAATTTTGTTCGCACAAACATGATATATCAGTTTATTATCGATCAATTTATAATAAGTCTTATTTATCTAATAATAGGTCTCACTTATTCAAATATAAACTGATCAATTATAAACTACCATAATAATATTTATAAAAAAAATTGTGAAAAATATTTGTTAAGTATCTTTACTCGTTGAATAAAAGAAAATGATAGAGTTATCAAAAATTATATATCGAATTTGTGCATCGACGTGATAAAATCTTGACTGTTGCTTAATATTAACTTATAATAAATCAACGGTTATGATTTTATCATGTCATTCGATACACACCCTTCGATAACTGTAACATTACTCTTAAATAAAATAGAATCGTTTATATAATGTAATTTTCATCATCAATGACGTAATGTAATGGCTCATGCCTCATGACATATTATGGCATGACATAATAGAACATGAACATCTTTTCTTTTATATGTTATGCAAGCATGGTCAATCAATCTTGATACACTCCGTTACTTTTATATGTTATGCAATCCAAGCTCTTGATGTTAAGATGCGCACCAACGAGATATATGTAAATTATTTGGTAAAATTTACGCAAGAGATTGTATAGAATTCTAGATGTGATGTTAAATCAATGAATAAATCGAAAATACAAATAAGATTTCCGAAGTGGTTCAGATTTGATATAAACCTTATGTTTGTATTGTTTTTTGTGTTTTTTTTTTTTTTTTCATATACAGTGTGGCTTACAAAACTATGAATAAAAAGGAGTTAGCGACTTTTTCCCACCTAAATAATGGTTTAATGACACTTCCTCATCCACAAACTTTTAAAATACCAATTTATTATCTAAATTTATATTTTATTTTTGGTTTCGACATCGTTGTGACCCTACGCCGTCACCACCATTCTCTTTCCCGATCATCACTCACTAAAACCCCTCAAATCCTACTCCTGTCGACCCCGTCAATCGCTGACAATTGAGCGATTAGGATTTACACAACCGCTCCTTCCAAGTCAAATTATTATCAATCCCAACCACCAAAATCCAACATTCTACCACCAAAATACTCACCTGCCTCCTATTTTAAAAAGCCCTAACAGTCTGGAACGAGTTGGATCTCTGTTCGCTATTGAAATATCAATTTGGATAATTAAGTGATATTTTAAAAGCCTATAAGTGAGAAAATGTCATTAAGCTATTATTTAGGTGAGAAAAAGTCGTTAACTCAATGAAAAATAATCCCAAATATGAGTAAAAAGTAAACGTATATAGTGTTATAATAATAAACTTGTAAATAAAATTAACCCTAAATGAAATGGCATATAGGTAAATCCATACTCCGGAGATTAGACACACGACATAAGCATGTGGTGGGTGTAAATTTGAATAGACAAAATCAGTGCCCCTTGAAAGGTGATAATAGAATAGAAGCAACTTAAATACAAACAATGCTTACCACAACTCGGCGGATTGATATATGCGGCAAGCTGTCACAGCTTCTTTATTACTAGTTTAATTGATTGACTTCAGTTCATGAAAGATGAGTGATACGGTGATGTTATGTACAGTACAAGAGAAGAAAATTAAATTAATTAAAAACCAATTAATAAAAAGTTACTATAAATGGAATTACAGAAAGTGAAAGTGGTCCCTGACTGCCTCTGCTGATGGTTAGAGCCAATTTATTAGTGGTCGAGTTCCTCCCGCTTCTTTATTTACTTGCTACCTGACAAATGGTCAATTTTTTTTTTTTACCCAGACGGATTGGTTTATGTATTGCTCAACGACGTCGTTTCAAGAATCTTAAAGGAAAAAATGCCTATTACTTATTGGTGGCGTTTGGTTGGAGGTAATAAAAGATTACTAAGGTTATGTTATCTTATATTACTTAATTACCATATTTGGTTATCAAGTAATATAAGATTCTGATAATCTTGCATTACCAATAGTTGTTACTGTTAATAATATTTGAAATAATCTGATTATCTTTATTTTCTTAGGTATTGTAAGATTATCTTGGTAATCTTATTTTTGTTACAATTCTATCCCTTATTAATAAAAATTTTGGACAACATTGCCCTTATTTTAAAATAAATTTAAATTAATATATCATTTCAATGTTACCCTTGTTTAATTAAGTTTTTGGACAATAATGTCTTTATATTTAAAACAAATTACAGACCATCACCACTCAACCACCACCGCCGACAGCGGGCCAACCACCATGGATCGCCGTCGGAGTCCCAAAAAATGACCGAGATTCGTTGGGAGGCTTCGATATGGTCGTTTTCGGCCATATCCCTGGCCATTATCGGCCAGATCTCGCCCAAATCTAGTTGATATTGGTCATATCGGAGCCTCGTGGTCACAGTGAGCTACTCACGACGACTTTCAGAGACTTCTAACGGTGGTTTGCGGTGGTAGCAAGCTGTTGTAGGGTGGGGGTGTTTTAGCTAAATCTGAAATATTGGGGGTTACAAAAATTATTCAAAAATTAATAATAAAAATAACATTATATTAATATTTAAAAAGGGGGTAATTTAGTAATTTAAATAACATACCCACCAATTTATTCCCCCTAACCAAACATATTAATATAACATACCCACCAACTAATCAAACACATTTTCCTGAAGATTCTCAGTAATCTTCAAGGTAATATAAAATTCCAGTAATCTAATATTCCCTAAACCAAACGCACCCATAAAGTTATAATAGGAAATGGTAAATGTTTTTTTTTTTTTTTTAACTAAGATGCTCGAACCAATTTATGCGCACCTCGATTATTCCTCAAAGAAGCTATCCCACACAACCCGTTGTTGCGACTCTCTAGATAAATCATGGACAAAAGTAATATTTTTACGCCTAACGGAAAATCGAACTTGAGATTGTGAGACTTATCTATTAGTTATAGTTGCGAACTAATCAATGACAAATTATCATGTTGGAGATTGTAAGAAGGTTATGAACCTAGTATTATTGTTGATGATAACGTGTCATTAAACTAACGGTATAAATTATTAGGTTTATTTAGATCATAAAGTAGAGATTTTAAAAGCTTGATATTATTTTATATAAATGTAAATAGCAACATGGCATCTCCCATAATTGTGAAGGAGAAATATTATTAATTTCGATTTGTCTGTATGGAATAATAAAACTTTATGATAAAAACTTGGCCACAGGCCCACAGTTAAAGAAGAAAGGCCATTGGACCGACAGACAAAGCTGATTGAAAAGAAAGAAAGAAAGAAAGCGTAGTGAATTCTATTCGAATGCATGTGAGCGGTTTACACGTATTTATTATTTAATTCAAAGCATTTTTCTCAACATTAAAACATATAACATTTCGTACTATCAGGGTGTGTTTGGATCGGAGACATATAAAATAACATGGATAATCTTTATTTATTTTACAAGATTTCACTGTTTAGTTTACAGATAGTAAAATATTATAAAATTTTTTATTATAAATAGCATTTATTGTTAGTAATGTGAGGGGTAATCCGATGCCCTCTCTTACTCCTATAATTAAAACATTACCGGATAATCTGATTTTTATATCTATTTTACCCTTGATTAAAAACCATTTCGGCACAATTACCCTCAAATGTCTACCAAATAACAAATTACCTAGCCCCCTTATATATAAGAAATTATCTAAAACACACAAACCACAAAAAAGTTTAAAAGTTAACAAAATGCCCCCAGCAGTCCAAGACCACCGCCGATGTCAGTCGCCATAATGGTGCATGATCGATGGGATATGACCGGTCATGCGCCGGTAAGGCATTTTCCTATTATGATTTGTGATCCATGAACGGAAACGACCAGATTTGTGGCCGTTTCACAACCACATCTTTGGCAATGAAATGACTATAGATCTGGCCGTGAAACAACCATGGATTTGTGATCCATGACTGAAAATGGATTTGCCAATGCACGGCTGGCCATATACAGTCAGTCGTGCGCCATTTCGTAGACTGCCAGTGGCGGTTGGCAATGGTGGCAGGCTGTTAGCATTGGCTTGGGGTGGATGGGGTGATTTTGTCATAAATTAAAGTTTTATATAATCGAGGTGTTTTAGCAAAATTTCAAATATAGGGGGTTAAAAGGAGGGTTCAAAAAATTATATTATATTAATTTAAAAAAAAAGAAGATAATTTAGTAATTTATATA